CCGAGGGGTCCCAGACTGCGAGAGGGCACAGGCGGGGCTGGGGGACCCCCCTCCCCCCGCCCCCCGAGTGCACAAATTTTTGTGCACCGGGCCTCTAGTTGGGTAATAAATGTCTGTCTTCTAAACTAGGAGGTTCTGGAGGTCAAGAATTCAATTTTACATTTCAGTATAGCCAAAGTCTTACATAGCACCCAATACATCATAAGTGCTTAGTAAATTACAATTGAATATAAAGAATGGTGATCCTAGTTAATTTAAAATTATTTGCTCTGAGAAATTAATGAGCTTGAATAGAAAAGCAAAAGAAATGCCCTTTCAATTTAGTGGTCATCTCAGACTTCTTATTACCTCTCTAAAAATATTAATTTTACCTGTTTTATTTTTCAATTCAAAATTATGTTATTTTATTTCCTTGCCCACGGAAGTTTTTAAAACCATTTTGTCTCCCCTTATCACTTCAGAACGGGCAAACTAGTGTGGTTCCAGGCTTTCGCCATTAATGATAATTCCTGTTAATTGTGATGTTTAACAGGAATTGTAGGCAGAATTGAGGAAGCTTATTAAGAAACTGCATATTCTAGTGTTGAAATTTGTGTTACACATATGATTTAGAGGGCAAATCTGTTTAGATATCCTCAGTTAGATCTGATACTCTATACCCCACCAGCACCAAATCTATGTCAATTTTTAGGATGTGTAGATTGTTTTACACTTATTTAATTGCTTTATTCATCAGCACATTATTGAGCAATGAGCTGCTTACCAGGGGTACTGGTTAATAATGCAGATTTTTTCTTGATAGATGGAGTTACACATATGTTGATATATATATATGCAATTTGATATGTATGCTATTTTGTTGTATTGACAGCAAGCTTCAAAACTTCATATGTCAAATTTTCTGAAGGTGTTAACTTCACAGATATTTTTACGCTTAAAAATGTCGAATTCTGTGCCAAAAAAAGAGCATTTGCGGGAAGTTTTAATTCATTACTTTATTTTGAA